AAAAAAAAAAAAAACCGAAAAACTATCAGAGAAAATGTTTTGTTGAATTTTGTGTACCTTTTTTTCTGCTTATATTGAAATTTAAATGTCTCACAAAAATTTATGTGGTTTTTGAGAAAGAAAGAACGTTTTTTTTTTTTTTTTTATTTTGTTGCGTACATATCACTGTTTTCCTGGTGACTGTAGCAGCAAATAAAGCTGAAAGAATCTGTTTGCAAAAACATTCTCAGAGACAAACGAATTGTTTAGTCTTGTCGATATTGCTTACCTATTTGAACATTTATAAAATACTCTTGTAAAATTCAGCGAGATATTGAGAAAATATTCGCTGTTCCTTTTGTGTTATAAAAGATAAAAAAATTTTTTCAATTACAGACTATTTTATGTAATCTTTTAACTGTAAATGCAGTTTTTATAGCAGTAAAAACAACTGTTTATTTCATATCTCTTAATCGATTGTCAAAGAGGCTATATTACTTTTTCTTTGTTCTTAGCCGTATCTGTTTTAAGTATCTTTCTTCTGTTTTCAGTATCTGTTTTAAACGTTTATCAACACTTTAATCTAAATTTTGAAAAAAAAAAAATTATTTTTTTAAGTAGTAAATAGAATATTTTTAGGTGAAATGATTGCAACATTTCTTGATATAGTTCGTGAAAATCAGCCTCAAAATGGTACAGAATTTTGCATCAGATTTTTAAAAGATGCATACAATACGACGACAACCAGTGATGTTGAACATATACCACCTCCTGCTTGGCAAGGTAACCCTATAAACTTATATCAGTTTTATAACCCCGCAACTCTGTTGAAGCAAAACATCGATAATTTTGCTGAAAAAGAAACCAAGCAAAAAGTAACGCCGTTTATGGTTTTGCATTACTGACGATGAAGAGATACTGTTGAGTGTGCTTAAAAAATGAAGACTTCCTGAAGCTGTGTGCAAGTTAATTGTAAACCTTACAGTGGTGGCTTTCAATTTTACGTAGTGGCTAACCAAGATTTTAAAAACTATAAAAAGTTTTTATCTTCTGTTAACTGTAAATTGTGAAAACAAAGGTTACAGATACCATCTAAAATTTGTAAAGAATTTTAGGGTTTACTGCCGATAAACTAAATCCTTTGTTAAAAAATTAGTTTTTTTTAGATTATTCTTTGTTCAAGACTGATGCTACAAACTTTAGCTGCTTTAGTTGTTGGTAAAAAAAGAATAAAGGATTTTTTTTATCACTTAAGTTTTATCTTGTTTATGCGTATAATAAAGCTAAATAGTTTTTTTTTCAGTTCTTCTTTGCGACGTTTGACTTCTTACTGTTTTTTACGTCTCAATTTTTGCGCTGTTAAACCGTTTCGAAATTATTGTGAATAGAAGTTCTGCTGTGATGATTTCAAAAGTTAATAGTTTTTGGCTCGAGTTTGTAGCTATATTTTCAGAACGTTTTATCTGCGTAATATGCTGTTTAACAAATAGAAGGTTGAAGTAGTATTTTTTTTTTTTGCAAAAACTTTTTTAGAAGTTTTAAAACTGGTTAGACTGTTAACCGTAATTATGATTCCGTCTCATAAAATACGTTCACGAAGTGATGCAATTATTAGAGAGATCTTTTTAATACTGACTATAAATTCCCTTCAACAGTTTGCAGACTGCAACAATCAATTCTCAGTACTTTTTTCTTGATCAAATAAGAGAATTTTTTAGGTTTTTGACAACACTAAATTTGTTCAATTAGTAAAGTTTGACAAGGAAAAGCTTGTTGAATGCAAGTTAAGGAAAGATGAATCACAACTTGAAAGTAAGTAACACTGTTCGATTAAGCTTTTTTGTAAAAGATTACTGTATCTTTTAAGAAAAAAAAACACAAGTATTTGAATCTTATATGATACATTGCTGTAGCAAATACGAATGTTTCAATTTTTCACTAATTTTATAATTTCTGCAGCTTGCATTCTATAATCTAAACCAATCTAGCAGTTATATGTGAGCCTTTCCACTCAAGAATGTTCGCAAATGTGAGAGTATTACATCTTTTAAAACTTCTGAGCTCTAGAGGCGTTTGACAAGTTTAAAAAGAAGCTTTATGCTTGAAGTAAGATTTCCTTGTTGACGTTAACACTACTGAAAAATTGAATTTGTTTTTTATTTTAGTGTGGGGAGTAGGATTTACAATGGTAGTTATCATCAGTTTATCGTCAGCATTGGGAATTCTGCTGTTACCGTTTTTGTCACCATCGTTTTACGACAAAACATTGACCTTCTTTGTGGCTCTTGGTGTTGGGACACTTTCATCAAGCGCTGTATTTCATCTGATTCCCGAAGTTAGCTTTTTTTTTTTTTTTTTTTGATTTTTGTGTTGACATCTTGCATATATTTAAGAACAAAAAAACTTTTTTTTGTATTTTATAGAAACATTAAAAGAAGGATAAACTTCACTTTTTTTTTTCTGCTTATATCGTTTAACGTGTATATTGCCGTTTAAATTCTTTCCTCTTTATTTATACTATTTAAGACTGAAATGATAAAGCACAAAATGAAACTTTATTTAGGCTTTTGAACTGATCAATTTGATGCCCAATTATTTACCGAAAGCTGCCACTATCATTGCTGGTGTTTATCTGTTTTTTGTGGTCGACAAACTGTTGACAATTATATGCGACCTTCGAGAGGTACACTCAATCAAATAAAAACATTAAAATTATTTTAAATTTTATAAAAGAATTTAAAAGAAGAACTAAAGAGGAAGTAAAAAAACGTTTTTCAAGGGTTCAACTATAAAACCGGATACCCAATTGACAACCAAACCAAACGAATCAGCCTTTAGCGATCCTTCACTTTCAGTTCCGCCGCAGCGAGTATGTTATCAGATTTGAAGCTGATTATTCTGATTTTTAAACTGAAGTAGTGATATTGTTTTCACTTTTGTTTATCAGGCAAATGTATTTTGAAACAAATGTGTAATTAATATTGATGAAAAATATACCTGCAACAGCCATTTTGAAGCACATTGCGGATTGGTTTTAGGAACGTAAATCGTCAACAACGTCTCGACGATCTCATATTGCCTCTGTGGCGTGGTTGGTGGTATTTGGTGATGGCTTACATAATTTTATCGACGGCCTATCAATTGGAGCTGCTTTTAGCGAAAGTCTTTTGGATGGTATCAGCATATCAATAGCGGTACTATGTGAAGAGGTGCCACATGAATTAGGTTTTGTTTCTTGTAACTTTGCTGCTCTTCAGAAAATTAGTTAAAAAATATTTTTTTTTGATTGCGTTATCAGGTGTAATAAAAAAATAAGTGGAGTTTTAGGAGACTGTGCTATCCTGATTAATTCAGGAATGTCGAGGAAAAAAGCACTGATTTATAATTTACTATCTGCAAGTACATGCTGTGTTGGCTTCGTCATCGGGGTTTTAGCTGGTGAAATGGACCGAAATTTTGGACAGTTTATATTTGCTCTTGCTGGTGGAATGTTTCTTTACATTTCGTTAGCCGGAATGGTAAGTAACAAATAAAAATTAAATTTATAACTTTTCTGGATAAATATGTCTATTTGAATATCAGTTTAAAGAAACCTTTTGTCAGTAAACATAAATTTCTGAGAACAGTTGATTATTTTCACAGATTCTTAGTCATAAATATTTTTTTAGCTGTCAGAAATTAATGAAAAAGCAGAAGCCAAGCTGAAAGAAAGTGTGAGAAGTGGAATCAGTACACTTTTACTGCAAACATCTGGACTTGCCACTGGTGTTATAATTATGTATCTATTCGCTGAATATGGATCTCTAATACGTTTTTGAATTTTCAGAATCAATTTTATTTTAAGTTTTCCTTTTGCTAGTTTGCTTAGAGTCAAAACCAAAATTGAAAGCTGCAATTTGGTATCTGAACAACAAAGAGAACACAGTATTCATTTGGTTAGTGTAGAAAAGACCAAAACAATGATGATGATGATGATGATGACAGTGACGATTATGGTGGTGATGATGATGGTGATGTTGATAGTGATAGTAATGATGGAAATGATGCTGATGACACGGCCAAACTGAAATGCAACTGGAAAATTTTGAAAGGTTCCATTTTTGGCTAAGAGACTGGAAGAAATAGTGATGATAAGAAATAAATTGCTTTCCACTGAAAAAAAAGGGAATTTGTTTGCATTTTGTTTAAAGTTGACTTTTCTGTAGAAAAAGACGAAGTGACTTGTCTCACGGCTCAACGAAACGGGAAAAAACGACTAACTAAACTTAAAATTTGTTAATTGTGTAACTTAGCTGGAAAACAAGTTTATCAAATTTTCTTAAAACTATAAAGTAAAACTTGTAAATATTAGATATTTTGACAAATAAAAAAGTTTGAGCTATTACAAGCGTTATATTCTTTATAGAACAATCTAAAAAATTTGGTGCTTGTAAAAATGCGAAAAAGTAGTTGTATTTAACAAAGATTAAGTTTAAAAAGCTATTAATAACTGTCTGTATTGCTTTACCTATCATTCGCTATCTGCAGGCTGTATAAAAGATGTTTCAAGTAGAATAGTCGTTAATTTGTAGGTGAAGAGAGCATAATTTGGGTAAATCATAAGTTGCTTAAAATTCTAAAAGTAATAAAAAAGCCAAGTATTACTGGTTCAGAGCTTAAAAGATTAACCTCATCATTGTAGGCAGAATTGTACAAGTTTTTAATGTGCCTTCAATCGTGTGTTGTGCAAACATTTGCTTATGAATGTTGAACCCGATGTAGCAGTACCGGTTGAACTGTCCCTTATAATCTGATTGCATAGATTTCTCTAAATAAATTAAAAGCCAGACAAAATAGTTTTTCCAGTCAATTTTGACATCTGTAATACAGTTATAATTGTTATGAGAAAAATAACGACAAAATTTGAAGAAAAATGTGTTTTAGTTTGGAATAGACAGATTTTATGACAGTAAATAAGGATTAAACTTATATTTTCTCAACTATTTGAACAAAAATCTATGCATGAAGAATTTTCTTTTTCATTGTTTATCAACTTTTTTTTTTTGTAATTTTATTGTGTCTTGATGTACATTAAAGTTAATCGAAAATTTAATATGTACGGTTATTTAGTTTTTATTACACTACTGAACTGAAGTATAATGTAAAAACAAACTGCTGCATTTTTTTCTGTCAAACCTTTACAAATCAACAATGGTATTGCATTTGAGAGATAAAATATAATAAAACTGTCATTTATGCTAAACAGTAAATTTAAAGCAGTAAACAAAATAGAAGTTGAAAAAATGCTAGCAGAAAAC